TCTTCTGCTCCTCGAACATCTACCCCCTCTTCTCCTCCTCACAAGAGATCCCTTGTTTCTCAAACCTGCCCACTCAATTCCCCTCAAGAAACTCCTGAAGACATCCGAAAATTCCTGGACATGACCCAAGAGAATGTTCTGCTCCCTCATCCATCCTCCAGTCCCTGTTCCCTCTACATTCAAAGTATTCGCCGATATCCACCCTCCTCCCCCTCGAGTTCCCCCTACCCCGCTTCCTCCCACACCCCATCCTCTCCTTCTCCGTGTGCACCATTCCCTTTTCGTTCCCCATTATCCTTACTTCTCCCACCTGGATACTCACGTGAATCCCTTCAGTCACAACAGTGTCCTCCTGACACTTTTCCTGATACTTCACCTCCTTCCCCAGTCCCCTTATCTCACTCCCCGGATTCTTCTGGTACTCTTCCAACAGCCATCTCTACCCGTATTACCCATTGATTGTTTCATAATAGCTCGTTTTGAAGGCTGAGGACGTTCTTTTTTCTTTTTTCTTTTCACTTTTTGACTCTCTCCTAGATCTGTTTTTCTTTTTTTTTTTTTTTTTTTTTTTAGGCCTGGTGGCATTCCTTTCTTTTTTTTTTTTCCACTTTTTTATTACTTTTTTCTACTTTTTCCGTCTAGGCTTTTTTTTTATAATTTTGGATTCTTGAGGACTGGGTAGATGGATGTCTCCCCCCCCCCCGGTCACGCCTTTGGTTCCTATTAACACAAATTTCGTTTATCGATTAAAATGACTCATTCTTCGAAACCCTGTCACGCGCAGCAAATTTCTCTGCATTTTGTTATTTTATATCCAATGCGCAATCTGATGTGCTTATGCTTCATATTCGTAATTTCCAGTCTCATAAAAAATATAACTCCTTGAACTGGCATTAAAAAAAGAAAAGTTAACTAATATATTTTGGATTAGTAAATGAATGAATAAATTCCATAATTGCCTATTATGTATAGATAGATAATAGACATTTTTTTTATCAACAACGTATCGATCGTCTTGTGGCTCAATTCAATTTTTCCAGAATTTTTTTTATCTAAACCCTTTGCTCCCATTCCCTCAAAAAACAATGAGAGAGAGAGAGGAGAGAAAGACAGAAAGAGAGAGGGGGGGGGAGGAGAGAGAGAGAGAGAGAGAGAGGAGAGGGAGGGGGGGTAGAGAGAGAGAGAAACAAACAAAGAGAGAGACAGAGACATATAGAAAGAGATAGAGAGAGAGACTGACAGACAAAGAAAAACAGAAACAGATAGACTGACAGACAGAGACAGAAAAAGAGAGATAGTGAGAGAGAGAAGACAGACAGAGAGAGAGAGATAGGGAATGAAAGAGCTAGACAGTCAGAGAGAAACAGAGATAGACAGACAGAGAGACAAGAGATACAGAGAGAGAGAGAGAGACAGACAGATAGACAAATAGAGAGAGAGGGAGAGAGAGAGACAGACAGACAAATAGAGATAGACGGAGAAAGAGAAACAGACAGACACATAGTCAGAGAGAGAGAGAGACAGACACATACACAGACAAACAGAAAGAGACAGAGATACAAAAGAGACAGACAGACAGACAAAAAAAACATAAATAAGAAACAAAAACAGAGAAAAAAATATATATTTATCAATTTTCACATGTTGCAATTTCCGAATATCTTACTCGTTGCAACATGGAGCAGCATTCCCCAGCGGTTGTTCAAGTGTGCTAACGAAGGCATTCCGGAGACTTAACCCCAGGAGAGGAACTTAAGAAAGCTTCTTAATTTAAGGCAGAGAGGTCAGGCTAAGTTAAGGTCGTGAAGAAGCAGGGTCATACCGAATCAAGGTCGTGAAGAAGCAGGGTCATACCGAATCAAGGTCGTGTCATAAAAATCAGGTCGTGAAGAAGCAGGTCATACCGAATCAAGGTCGTGAAGAAGCAGGGTCATACCGAATCAAGGGTCGTGAAGAAGCAGGTCATAAAAATCAAGGTCGTGAAGAAGCAGGGCATACGAATCAGGTCGTGAAGAAGCAGGGTCATACCATCAAGGTCGTGAAGAAGCAGAGTCATAAAAATCAAGGTCGTGAAGAAGCAGGGTCATACCGAATCAAGGTCGTGAAGAAGCAGGTCATACCGAATCAGGTCGTACATACCGAATCAAGGTCGTGAAGAAGCAGGGTCATACCGAATCAAGGTCGGTGAAGAAGCAGGGTCATCCGAATCAAGGTCGTGAAAGAAGCAGGAATCAAGTCGTGAAGAAGCAGGGTCATACCGAATCAAGAAGAAGCAGGGTCATACCAATCAAGGTCGTGAAGAAGCAGGGTCATATCAAGGTCAAGCAGGTCATACCGATCAAGGTCGTGAAGAAGCAGGTCATACCGAATCAAGGTCGTGAAGAAGCAGGGTCATACCGAATCAAGGTCGTGAAGAAGCAGGTCATCAAGGTCGTGAAGAAGCAGGGTCATACCGAATCAAGGTCGTGAAGAAGCAGGGTCATACCGAATCAAGGTCGTG